CTATGATGTCGCTCTAAGTAAGCGCACGCAAAGTCTAGATCATTCAGCATGACGTCCATAGCTTGTTGAAAAATGGCAGGTGCCACTTTAATACCAAAAGGAAGCCTGTTGTACTTGAATAACCCTCTATGCGTGTTTATCCCTAGTAACTTCCTCAACATTCCTCTTCGATGGGAATTTGGAGATAGGCATCTGATAAGTCAATTTTTGAAAATATAACTCCACCATTTAGCTTGTTAAAAATCTCCTCCGGACTCGGTAACGGGTAATGGTAGTCCTTAATTACCAAGTTCAACCCTGTCGAAAAATCAACGCAGACTCTGACTTGGTTTGATTTCTTTTTTTATGCACACAATCGGCGCAGCCCATGAATTAGATTCTACTTTCAAATAATTCCCATTTTTCCAACCTATCAAGTTCTTCGTTAATTTTCTCTACACTTGCGAAAGGCACATTACGTTTCTTTTTAAAAATTGGCATAGTATTTTCCTTTAATTCAAATTTGGCTTCAAACTTGTTACATCTTCCAAGACCAGGTGTGAAAGTTTCCGGAAACTTTTTTTAATTCCTCATTAATGTCCTGTCTTGTTTATGTATTACTTTCTACTTTTCTGCAGAAAGAGTTTAACGGTTTATCTCACAATTCAATGTTTCAATAAAATCTGTACCCATCAAGTTTTCTCCATTTTCAGAATGAAAACTTTTATTTTTTTAACTATCCTGCTCAATTTCATGGGAAGTACAACCTCGCCTTTCAATTTAATTTCCTTTCCAGTCACTGTTCGAGCGCGTTTCGTTGACTTCATTATTGTAGGCCTTTTAAAATTTTCCATGTTTTATAGTTCATTATTGTTAAATCTGAACCCGAATCGAGTTGAAATTTGATATTCTTTTTAAATATTTCAGTCGTCACATACTTCCTCAAATCTCTATCTGATTTGATATTTGAATTTGTTTGTCTAATTCGCTATTGACTTTTTTTCGTTTTACAACACGACCCTTTGTGACCATTCTTGTGGCACACGAAACATTTTTTTATTTCTATATGGGCAATTTAACTCCCAGTGTCTTCCATTGCACTGTCTACAATTAAATGGCAGAACCATTTTTTTCCTCCTCATTCTTTTCATTTAATTTTTCTTGTCTATTTTTAAAATACGCCTGAATTTTTAATCCAATTTTTTTTCTGATGGGTAATTTGACTGTTTTTTTTTTTTTAATATAAGCAATGCCAGCTTCTTCGATTTTTTGAGACTCTTTCTTTAAACTTACGGCCCGCTGACACTCCTCTGCTAACTTTTTGTAGGGTAAGGTTTTGTTCAGATTCGAGTTTAGACAAAACTCTCACGCCTTATTTCGCACTCTTACTGGATACCAGTCCTTGGGCAAAAATTAAACACTTGAATTCTTCAACCGTAATCTCTGCCAATCTGAAATTGTCACAATGTCTATTCACTATAGATGCATAAGTTAAGTAATCCTGATCGTCGGATTTAGCGACATTCATGCATAACCATCGCTATGCCAAAGCGACATATTTGCTCAAAACAACTCCTTTAGCAATTTCACTGTTTCCAGAATTCCAATTCATTTGTTCTTCTCGGTAGAATAAAATCTACAAATTTGCTATGTTCTGCTGTACCTAGCTTTCTTAGTAATAGACTGACTTTTCTTGAATTCGACCAGTTTTCACAGTCTGTGTGGAAAATATCTTCATATCGTTTAAAGTATGCTTCAAACGTTTTTCCTTCGTCTGGCACATAGTTGAAAGTTTCCAATGAATTAAATATGATGTTATTAGAATATGAAGAGTTACTTTCATTTGCCTGATTGTTGTTTAATTTCTCCAATGTTAACTTTTGAATTTCCAAAACCTTGACATACATTTCTTCCTGTTCCCTTTGACGTTGCTGACTCAACTCCTCTTGCCTTTCTTGATAATTCTGCTGTGCTAATTGCTGTTCTCTTAATAAGGCAACCTGTTCACTTTGTTGTTGCAGACTCAACTGCTGGGATTTGAATAATTCAGCTTGACTCAACTGCTGGGCTTTAAACAATTCAGCTATGACTTTGGATAATTCCTCCATTTTTAGCTGATAGTGTTCATGCAACAAAGAATATACTTTTAAATTGTGTATCCACGAATATACTATAACCAGACAAAAAAAAATCGAAACAACTTACGCCTTTTTTAATTTTATGTCTTGCTTTATAAAATATTGTTGAGCAACCAAACAAAAAAAAAATAAACAATTTTTTTTTTACAAGTTTACCTTTCAAAGTCGACACATATTTGTGCTCCTTTTAATTCCATGCATGTTTTTTTTTTTTAGTCGGCCAGCTTTTTTTTTTTTTTTTTTTAGTCGGCCAGCATTTTTTTTTTTTTTTTTTTCTATTTGTTTACGCCACCTTCCAGATTTTTTCTGAGTGAACGTTCCTTTAAGCTTAGTCGTCCTTTAACTAGTTTTAACTGTCCAAACTTCAGAATACTTTTCCGTTCCATTAGATGTTCGACTTTTAATTAATGATTTTTTTTTCTTCAGCCTGGGTTCTTCCACTTGTCCCAATTGTTGAAGGCTATCAATTATTAATTTTTTTTTTTTTCCGTAACGTAAAGTTCTTTATACCTCGTCGCCATTGTTGAAACTTGGATAAGCATGGAATAATAATAATACAATACAAAATGTACGTAAACAAAATGTATTGAAACAAGGAAAAGGTACACAATATTTACAGTTAGTTTTGGTATATTCTTGGGAAGACTGTTCCTGCAGAATGGGTTGACTAAATCGCAGTCGGGCAGAGTCTCTCGATTCGATCTCTTCTTACTACTATTTTTTCCGTCTTCCGGTACCAACCCATATTTATCTCGGTCGGTACTCCACTTATATAAATTAGGTGTATCGTACCACAACAATATTATACTGAAGAAAGTGATATTTTTTTTTTTTTTTTTGAGAAACCAACATGTGTGGGTGTGTGTATTTCCTCTTTAATGGATTTTTTGATATGAAATTATTTCTTCTCAATATAAACATTATTTTAGTGAGTAGACATGTTTGAGTTGCTATCCCTGTTTTTATTATCTAAATGAAAAGTAATAACAAACTGTCTAGATCAAGAAGTACTATGAAACTGGTTGGTATTAATTTCATTGCTTAGGAAAATAAAAAAAATGGAGACAGCAACTCAAATATGTGTACCCACTAAAATAATGCTTAGAGTAATAATAATAATGATTTTATATATATATATATATATATATATATATATATATATATGGGTACGTCGTTGAGTGGTTAGAACGTTCACTTTCTGTCCATGAGAACCGGGTTCAAATCTCAACACGGTTGATTTGTCAAGAAGGAGACTTCCTGACATCAGTCTGGAGGGTGACAATCCCAGCATGCGTCACCTTTGGGAAGTGCCTGAAAACCATACTACAGGTTGACTCAAGTTTTGTGAGTAAAACCAGGTAGATGGAACACTCGGGGTCTATCAATAGCTGTGCTAGCACAAAGTCACAACTCATTCTGTTTGAGCATGCTGGCATTGTTTATCATGTTAGATAACACACACTCTCCCAGAAAGTTGCAGTATAAATCACAGGTTGACTTTTTGAGTGTTGAACAAACACAAATGCAAGAAAAATGCAAGAAAACCCCAATATGGATTGGCTAGCCACCCTAGTAGACGGCTATATTTGAATATGAGTGGCCAGCTATAATAATAATATATATATATATATATATATATATATATATATATATATATATAGTGTTGACGGATTCAACCATTTTCTTTTGATTTCTTGATATAGTTGTGTATGATGGCTTGGGAGAGTAGTAATTCTGTTAGGAAAGGTGATATTTGGAAAAAACCTGGGTGTAGATTAATATTTGGATAATATTCAATGGTGGCATTCTCGAGGATATTCTTTCTGAAGGATTTTCCTTTTTTAAATTTCTGCTTGTTTCTCCAGTATATTAGGAGGAATAGTTTTGGCAATTTATTTTATAAATGCCAGCCTCAGAAATATTAAATTTAAAAAAACACATCAATGAGCTCAAAAGAGACCTCACAAGTATCAACTTAACTAATGTACTAGTCATACATAGAAATAAATTCAACCACAATTTTCATTTTAAAAATGCTATACTCATAAAAAAAGAAAATAACTCACTCAGAAGGAAAATCCTTGAGAGTGCTGCCATTGAATATTATCCAAATATTAATTTATGCCAAGGTTTTTTCCCAGTATCACCTTTCCTAACAGAATTACTTCTCTCCTAAGCCAATGTACACAACTACATCAAGAAATATATATATATATATATATATATATATATATATAAATAAATAAATTTCCAAGAGGATAGAATCCAGGCAGAAGTCAATGTTCAATTGAATTTGTAGGTCTGATGAATTAGATCATGATTACGATTCCAATGTAATAAATTATAACCATGGAATATTAGTGTTTGAGCCTCTTATATATATATATATATATATATATATATATATATATATAGTGCATGAGTAGTTGTAGTACTTTAAATATTTATAAAAACACATTAAAGATAGTACTGAAAAGCAATTCATATAAGACTGTTCTGATGATGTAGTAGAAACAGAATTTTCTGTTATTTTAAACTTGACAAATAAAAGTCAATAAATTGAATTAGATTATTTTTAACTTGCAGATAAATGGATAACAATTTTCTAATTGCATTTTGTACTTGCAAAATATGAAAAACTTTGATAATTCTATCATTTTTTGAAGGTATGGGTAGTTTCTGAATAAATTTTAAATTGTTTCTGTGTAACATGAATATTTTTGCAGAGTTATTTTATGAATCACTTTTTTTGAGAAAGAGGATGATAATTCAGAGAAAGTGGGTGGGGACACAGCTAACAAGTAAATATAGAGAGAGAGAGTCATGGTTAAGAAAGTGGGTGTAGATAGGTGTGGGTTATCTATCAATGAAAGTCTTACTCACCTGTAGAGAAGATAGAAGAGAGCACAAGAAAGTCAGATACTGGTTATGTTGTTGATCCACGGCTTTGGAAGCTTGTTGAAAGAGTGTCTGCCTGAGAGCATAGCGTAGACGAAGAAAGTGGTCATGTTGAGATGGATCAATGAGAATGTAAAGCAAAAACGGCCTGAGGATAGCAATGGCATTTTGGTGGACTCTGTGGAATGGAATTAAAAGAGATCAATGCATGGCTCAAGGCAGTTCTTAGAAAACAAAGTTCAATTCAATGGCACCAGAAGATATTTTAACTTTGTGCAGGCAATAAGTAAGATTGCTTTCAGCCCTCTGATGTGATATATCTGTCCACAAATTTGTATTGAAGAAAGTGGAATTATGTGTGTGTGCATATATATATATATATATATAAAATGTACAGGATGTGATGGGTAAATTCTCGCCATTTTATATTTTTTACATCCACGTTGTTTTTGACTGCACAGTATAGTAGGGCCAGTTGGGCACCGTCTGGGAGAAAAAACACATCAGGATGCAATTCATTCCGCCAGAAAATTGGAAATAGCTGTATTGCTTGGCATTCATGCTGTAAGCGCCGATATGAACATTTAAGAGTGTTTGGGTGTCATTCTGAGGACTCAGAAAGTGCTGGATGTTATATCCATTCAACATCATGGTGTTTAGAGTGACAACTAGTGATGGCAACATTATTTCACCATTCATCTTCCTACAGGGCCTCACAGAGGCCTAGATCAAGTGTGTTGAGGAGGTAGTGCTGCCCTGATTAAAAGGGTGGCTGCTGGAAGACCCTATATCTGGAAACAGGACTCTGCACCATGCCACACAAGCAGGAGAACCCAGTCATGGATATCAGACAATTTCTGTGACCCCATCACCCCATACATCTGGCAACCTAAGTTGCAGACTGTAATCTTCTTGATGATTATGTGTGGGGTGCAGTTGAGCAACTGACCAACAAAACTCCTTGTAACACTAAAGATGAACTGAGGGCAAGGATTTTGGCAACATTCCTCAACTTAAACAAGGAGACCATCCAAATGAGTTGCAGGAGATTCCAAATTGTGTGGAGGACATGGTTGAAGCCAATGATTTTATTGAATAAATTTACTCTCTAGTATTTCTAGATATTTTTGTGCAATTTTGCTAAATATATCTGCTAAAATGAGATTTCAGTGTTATTTTCATTTTTGTGTAATTTAGACGACTATGTGTGTGTGTGTGTGTGTGTGTATATATATATATATATATATATATATATATATATGTATGTGTATATAATGTAAAAAAAAAAAAAAAGGGAATTTTTTTTTTTTTTTTAGTACAAGCACTATACAAATTGGGGATACATTAATTATTATAAATTATTTATTTTCCCATATACAATATACAAACCATCTTTTTGATGTTAAAAATGCTGAAATGGTTAAATTTATTAATCATAAATCATCTTGATTGATTATTTAACTGGCATAGCAACCACTATGGGTCAATAATGCCGAAACAGTTTGTTGGTTGATTTTGTTCAGTGGCATGACAATTTCCACGCCGAAATCCAAAAATTTTGTCTGAAATTTTATGGCTTCAATTACAGATATTTTGTATGCAATTTCAGAGCAAACATATGTTTTTTGCTTTTTAGAAATATAGTTTATAGATAATAAGATGTATTGTGTTTTCTTCTATAAGTGCTGGAAGCAGCCTACTTCTTTCAGGTAGCCTATAATTTGAGAAACACATTTTTGAAAAGCATGGTAAGGTTTTGTACATTATAGTATTTGTTACTCGTTTTCTTGTATTCTTTGCAGTTGATTAGGATTTGCTTAAAAGTGAGCAATTGATCACAAGAGATGCACTGAAGTTTCTGCTTTGAGTAAGTATTTGTGTGTAAGATGCATATGTCCAATTGGGACTTTGCTTATATAAAACATCTGGAAGAATTACTGAACCAACTATGATATCAAAATCCAATTCAATTACTCAAAAAGTAGGCTTTTATAGCATTACATTTTTTTTTCTAGCTAAGATAATACTTGAAGATATTAAAGGCAATTCTGATTAAACATCTTAATAAGATTTTAAATTTAATTCTATACTTTTCTTAGCACCTAATTAAAAATAAAATGATATTTTAATTATAAACAATCCATATTTTTTTTTTGCGATACATCTTTTATTTCTTTCAGCAAATCTTTCTTTCATTTTAATACATTTCCTGTGCAAATCTCACTGATAGGTTCAAAGGTGTTTTTTAAATTTATTAAATTAAATTATTAAATGTTAGAATATTCAAATTTGGCTGCAGCATTTTATGTAGCAGGATTGCCATGGTAACAAACTTTTTCTTAGATTTTTCAGTTGTATTTTGAAAATGTTCATGTAAAGCATGGAATGCCAACACTTAAATAATCATTTTTCAATATCCAACTGATTTTGACATTCTTTGTCTGATATTACAAATCAATCATATATATATATATATATATATATATATATATATATATATATATATATATATATATATATGGCTCTGATAAAAAACATATGTGCTCAATGTTATATAACAGCGCTGTTAAATATATATTAGTGAATATACATAATATCCCACGTTGATAACATGACTCGGAGTTTCATGCAAATATGCAAACTTCAGGTGCAAAATACTCACTGACTGTCGAGCATTATGAAATTTGCATTGTGTTGATTTTAAATTGTGTGTTAAGACTTGTTCTTTTTATTATTGTTGTCTATAATATTTAAATTAATTACTTATAATTTATATCAGTTATATTAAATTCTTAAATTCGAAAGATGAAAAATTAAAATAAAAATTATTTTAAATAATTTTTTAAAAATTTGAATTTATGTAAATAGGCTATGTATCAAAGGGGGATAACTCCCTTTTTTACATAAAAAAGACATCATTAGTTGTAACGGAAATAATTGGTGCTTATCAAAATTTATTATTAATGTCTTATGGAAAAACTTAGCTCTCACAATGTTAACTTAATTATACCGTTTTTCCCTCTATACATGATCAGTCATTCCTGATTTCATTGTAAAACTCTTAATTATGGCTTTTTGATATTCCTCCAGCCTTACTTTTAGAAAAAAGTGAATGGTGGAAACAGAAACAGCAAGGACCAAGCATTGGTTTAATTTAGCAAGATCAAATATATTCAGTTTAATTTGAATTCATCTAATCCCTTCTGGATCACTTAGCCTGTGGTTGATATGATTAATAGTTAATATCTGTCTATATTTCTGAGATGTGGTATTAGGACTATTTACATTATTCGGACTGTTATCCTCACCTTCATTGCCATATTCGCAATGTTTCGGCTGTTGTATGCTCCAGCCTTCTTCAGGTGATTGGAATTTCTAATCAACCCCTTTATGTCATCCATCGGGGTAGATTGTTCTAGTTCCATGTGCCATGCCTATTCCAGATGTCTCAGTTATTTCCCTTTAACTCAAATCTCCAAGTTTTTTTTTGGTTCACCACTGCTGTAGCCTGGTATTGAACTCACAACTTTTTGGGTCTAGTCACTGGATCTAACCAATGTCTTTATACACTGGGCCATGTATCCTTGAGGAATGGTAGTGGAACTAGAACAATCTATCCTGGTAGATGAAATAAAAGATTTGGTTTGAAATTCCAATCATCTGAAGAAGGCCAGAGCATACAATGACTGAAACATTGTGAATATGGTAATGAAGATGAGGATAACAGTTTGAATAATGTAAATGATTAATAGTTGGATCAAATGTAAGTCCGTCAGTTTAATCAATGATGTCTTTGTTTTGTACTATTTAGCTAATTCTACACTGAATTAAAGGAAGGGTCAAACCTTTAGCACTGGATCACTTGTTAGCATTAGGGGCATCTAGTTATCAGACAAAGGGAGAATCTTGGCAACTCGAGATCAATTCCAAGAAATTAATTATGTATCAATGTCAAAATAAAGGTAAATTCTCTTCTTAAGGGACATACATGAGATAAGAATTTAGCCCACTTGACTGCTGAATAGAAATGATTTCAAGATGGATGTCTTGTAATTCAGACTATGAACGAATGAAAAACACAATCATTATACTGCAGCATCATATTAATAGAAGATAATGTTACAAGTCTTCATACCTTTGATGTGATAAATATTCTTAGCCTTATAATAAACAAATGTAGTAGAATACTAAACTGGTATTGGTTTTCATTGATTGTACATGGTATCTGAAGAGATTCAATTACAGTCAGTGAAAATCATCACTATTGATCACAGGCATGTGGTTTGGTTTATTTTGTTTTACAGCATATTAACCTCAATGGGTTATTTAATGCCGACAACATTTTTAGGATAGATTTGTATGAACAGAATATGCATTCTTTAGTTTAGTTTGGTTTGGTTTATTTTGTCCCACGGCACACCACCTCCAATGGCTACTCAATGCTGACAAAATTCTTTATTGCTGCTAATATTTTGTTTTGTCAAAAATCTGTTTCTGGTAATATTTTATTTCAAAATTGTATTGCTGGTAATAACCTTTTCAAAAAAGCATTGCTGGTAATAGTTAACTATTTGCCCATAGCTGGGACCCTAACAGGTGCTAACGACCTGGGTAAGGTTGGACCTGGGAACACCAGCAATTAAGAGGTGGTTCCATGCTCCTTAAAACCTCCTGATCAGAGGCCTTGCTGCTGGACGTAGTTTATCGTCTTACCCAGGACGAACCGGCATGTGGAACCAATAACATAGCTAAGTATATATATATATATATATATATATATATATATGTGTGTGTGTGTATCATATCATTTTGGACAATGACTACTATGATGGCTGCTAAGCTCATATGTGCTTTACTACAGAGGCCTTGTAAAAAACAGTCAATATGACATGAAGATTTGGAATGGAGAACTGACCAGATTTGCGCTTTAATTATGAATAGGTTTTCATGGCTAAATTGGTTAAGGAGTCATCTATAAAGACGAAATCCTGGAATGAGGGAAGTAAATTTTTTATTCTTACTTTTAGAATATAAAACAATTGGAGTGTATCCACAAAATTTATGAAATGGTTTTATTGAAGGAAGCATTAGTAATTATTCTTCTATATTATCATGATGAAAAGTTTTATATCTCTATTGTTGCACCATGTGTGTTATTTTATTCAAATAAAAGAGGCTGTTGTCATTAATGAATACTGTTGATAAAAGTGAATTACCATCATAAAATTTCTCCATTGACTCAAAGGCAAAGAAAACTGACACTCAGATAAATTAGAAATATATTAAAATAAATTGTCTATTGAACTATAAAAAAATACAAGCTGAAGAGACATTTAAAATAACAAAATATTCAAATCATAAAATAACAGATTTTTAATTGTATCCAATTTATTTTCCAAAACGTTTATCCTTTTTCTAAAAATAAAAACTATTAGATTACTTTTAAGTTATGACTTTCCAATTGTTTGTTTTTACAGATTTTTTGTCAAGTAATTGAAGCTTATCTTAATTGACTTTGTTATAGACAAACATATTTGATTATAAAAAGAAAAAAACTTACACAGATTCAGAATGGTTACATATAAGGTGCACCTGTTGCTGTAGAAGTGGCCAACTCTCTGGTCGATTTGTACTCACTGTGATCAGTGGGTGAGGTGGAGTTCTGCAGAGAAAAATTTACATAGGAATAAGGTGAATAGATTGAAAAGCGAAAAAAGATGTTTAGAACCCAGGTAGGAAAACAGTCAATTAAAATTGGAGCAATCCCACTGTTCATTTTTTTTTTTTTTATGATATCACTTGCAATACAGCCAGATTTTGACGTCCTTGGTATTGCCATCAACAATTTAATCTATCTGCAGTTGACCGATTAGGTACAATTTTCATGTCTTAAAACTTTTATTAAACTGAAACCATGTAGCAAAATATATTTCAAAGGAGTAAATTGAAAAAGAATCAATTTTCTTTAAATAACAATTATTTTTTGAGAAGAACAATGACTTTTCCAGAAACAAATTTTAATATTTAACCCATAGCTGGGTGGGGAGATGGATTCATAACTTTCCCAGAGGCATTTGTGTGTAAGAGAATGTAATGAACCTGACTGGAATTCAAACTTGGCACTTCAATTCCATTCCAAACCACTATCCATTATACCACCTGCATAACCACAACTTTTGTTGTGGCTTATGGTGGCTCATTTCATTTTCCCCAGGACATTTTTGCTCTATTTTTCATCATCTATAATCATTATTTTCAAAAATGGGTGGCGGTTGTTTTTATTGCATTTGAGCAGAGAGTACTGCAGATAGAAATGTGGCTCATTCAATATTTTTCTGGTAAATCCCAAGGCACCCAAACATCATAGTATCCAAGTGTTTTTCAAATGCTTTACAATGTTCATATGAGATTATATGTGGAGTATCTCTGGGAGGCACGGTGGTGTAATGGATAGTGGCTCGGATTGAGGAATCAGAGAGCCAAGTTCAAATTCCAGTCGAATCCATTACATTCACTTACGTGCTAATACTCTTGGGAAAAGTATGAATTGTCTTCTTATCCCCCCAGCTATGGGTAAATAGCAGGACAGATTGGGTTCTATAGCCTTGGATGGCAACTGGTCTACTGCAGAATGGCAACCTACTGTGGGAAAAAATCTGCCTTGTCAGTCATGTATTGAAAGATACATGATTGCATAAGCATGTATCACACATGGCACATACCTGACTGACTGATAATTTTGTTTTCTTCTTCAGGGAAAAGGATGAAAATCTATTTGGAAGCTGACACTGTCTTAAATTCCTGAACTTGAAGGATTTACAACAATATTGAGCAAAAGGCCCAATATTATGTAAAAGTATTAGAAAAGTAACTTGTCTCATTTGTCATCTGTCATTCGGGAAGGTGGATGGCTAGTGGCACGGATTGAGGAATCAGAGAGCCGAGTTCAAATTCCAGTCAAATCTATTACCTTCACTTACATACTAATACTCTTGGGAAAGAAATGGCAACCTACTGTGGGAAAAAATCTGCCTCGTCAGTCATGTATCGAAAGATACATCATTGCCTAAGCATGTATCATGCGTAGCACATAACTGTTCTCTGTGATGTCCCATCTGATGTGACCTTCTGAACTTAGCAAAACTCTTACAGTGCTTTCAGCTATGGCATCATCTCTATAAATGACAGTTTTTCCTTTCCAGAAATGAAAAAAACTATTTTAGCTTTTCATGCAAAAAGATTGAAAATTCACAACTGCACAAATTGAATCCTATATTAAAAAAAAAAAAAAAGTGCTGAAATGTCACTTTCAAAATCTGTGTATATGTCATAAATTTCAGTCATGTGTGAAAGGAAATTGATATCATTTATTGAAAAATTCGGCAAACTTTTGTCCCAATATATAAATACTTACATGTTTTATTTAATTTCTGTATGAATTTGTGAGATGAGGGATTTATATTATACACTGAATTATTCAAATTATTGTCATCATCTTGGTTCTTATGGGCAAGTTTTGGCTGTTGTACTCACAGGCCTTCTTTAGGCGCCTGTCATATTTGGTAACATCAGAATGACTTAGTGGATATAAGCATGGTTAAATGATGCAGCTTAATTCATGACTGCGAGTTCAATCCCTGATTTACGTTGAGCAAAACAAGCAGAAACAACATCACAAAAATTAATTAACAAAAAGTGGCAAAATAACTGAAGAATTAACTCATACAAAATAATACCGAGCATCATAAGAATGGAGACTGAATAAATATTTCAGTTTAAAACATCATAGAATATAATAGATTACATCTGAGGAAGGCTGAAGTGTATGATGGTTGAAACGTGCCTATAAAAAAACAAAATGAGATTGAGACAAATTATTTTCTCTTAAAGATTTTTGGTTTGCAAATAATTTTTCCTGAATGCTAAGCATGCACACACATACATGGCATCCATTTGTAAAAGAAATCATATAAAAAAACATTTTTTTAAAAAAATTCTGTTATGACAAGGATTCTGGTGGAAGAGTTGGAAATCTTGAGGCAAATTTTTAATCAGAATTCAAAGAAACTTTTGGGTAAATGAATCGTGTATTAAAAAATAAATAAGATATCAGGTGCAAAGAATGTAGAACTTTTGAAATAAAATTTTTATGGCAATTCTTGTTGGAAAGAAAGTAAAAACAAAAAAAGGGTACAAAACAAAGAAAATTTTAAAATATGAGGATGAGGAAGGTGATTCTGGTATATATTGTAGAAAAAGTGTTCTTCTCTAAAGAATTTCATGCAAACAATTTGAAATGTAGGCAAAGAATAAAGCAGAAGATGTAATGGTAGCAGTTTCACTCATCACTGACTTAGTAGGTCAGAAACTGTGTGTTTAGAATTGAATTCAGATTATTTCTGTAACTGCCTCAAGATAAATCCAAGGTGCCTTTGGGATTTTCCCCAATATCAATTTTCTCTTCAATGTGTACTGATCCAAATATTACATTTACAATTACATTTTTGGTCATTCTTACATATGGTACATAAAAATCAGCAGAATTCCTGTTGAACAAGGCTGGTGCTAACCATTGCTAAAACCAATGACTGGGAGTACGAGTCAAGTGTATTGAGAGCTTTGGAGAGGAAGAAAATTGACATGTAGTAGAGTAAGGATCCTTGTATCCTAACTTGTGGGCAGTCATAAGTCCCCATTATCAACACTTCTGTTGAGAGAACCTAAAACTATGTTTACTGTGACTTTTAACCTTAAATTTCATTACCTCTCAGTTTTATCCAATTCAGCATTTTTGTTATTGATAAGCATATTGCAATAAATGTCCTTGTACACTTGTTAACAAGTGCCTTTTCAATTTTTAAAATCGACAAAACCCATGTCAAAGAACTTCTCCATTTTTTTTTTGTCTGACCACAAATATGATTGGGTTAACTCTGAGGATTTTTCTGAGGAATGAGACATTGGAATTAGTGACAAAGAAAATGTTAACCATATATCCTAACCAAAATATTGCCACAAGAAGAAACTGGCTGACTCCTAAAGGTCAAACTCAATGAATACAAGAAAGTCATATCCAGAAAGTGAGATAGAAAAATGATACTTCTAACTCTGGGATAAAGTTCAAGTAATAGGAAGCATTGATGTTTAGTGGACCCCCACCCAAACAACCCCCCTCACCTAAAACCCCCAAAACTGAAGGTGGATATAAACACCTAATTCAGGCCAATATGAATTTCTTTAGAGTCTGTCTATATTTCTGAGGAACACATGGCACAGTGGATAAAGGCGTTGGTTAGATCCAGTGACAGGACCCAAAGAGTATGAGTTCAATACCTGGTTAAGGCAGTGGAGAACTTTCAGAGGGAAAATGAGCAGGAGATAACTGATAACTGACATCCATCAAACATGGCACGTGGAACTAGAACAGTCTACCCCAGTGATCGAAATAAAGGGTTCAGTTCAAATTCCAACCACCTGAAGAAGGCCGGAGCGTACAACGGCCGAAACGTTGTGACAAATATGGCGACAAAGATGAGGACAATAGTCTGACTAATGTAAATAATGAATTTCTTTGCTCAACAAGGAAAATGTGTTGCTGTGAGTTTCAGAATAATGGGTTTGATCAATATATTTACTAGTATTTTTATGTTCTCTTGATATGCTATGTCTTTTCAGGATGTGAATAATCATGGTTCTCCTCAGCTTCCTGTTTTTTTGTTGCTCTCAGTAATATCTTCCCTTTTATAACTCTTCCTTTATCAATATAAAGTTCATCCCTGAACAAGTCTCTTGACTCAGTTTTCTGAAACAATGTAAAAGAACAAGTCAAGTAAAAAAAATGAAATAGTCTTATTAATTCTTAGAACCAACCATAAAGGATATTGCCATTAAAAGCAAAATCTAAATTCTCTCATATTGATATTGTCAGTTGGGAAGATGCAATAGGAAAAAAAAAAAAAAACTATTGTCATGATAATATTTTTTAATTTAGAAGGAAATAGAAATTATATATAAAAAATATTTATTGCGATTCTAGACAATTATTTTCATATTTTTGTTGAAACATTATTCTTGTTAATGTATTTCTGCAGTGACAAAAAAAAAAAATCATGAAAAATTAAGGAATAGACATATCTAGAAACTGAAAATTTTTTTACCTAGATCACAAGGTGCTTAAAAGGCTTCAAAATCTAGCCAAACATTTTTTCTTGGTTGGCTTAAGAAATTTTCAGTACCCACTCTCATATATTATAAAATGTCCTGTGTCAGATTAAAAATTTCTTTTATTTTAAATAGTACAGTTAACACAATATTAGCAAAATAATGATTTAATATCACTTTAAGACTGGATTTACATTTACATTTTTTTTTTTGCAAAATATAAAATTTCTATATTTTATAGAATGAAAAATTAAATAAATCTGTTAACTTTTGAATTTTAATTTTTTGTAAATTCATCCAGAAGCATTAAATTTAATGAGAAAGTTTATTTCCTGATGAAAAATTAGTAGGATGAAAAAAAAAAAAAATTGAACACACATCATTAGATTAATGGAAAATATTAATATAAGAGTTCAATAAAGGGAAGTAATTAATGTATGCTCAATTCTTTTAAGACAGAAGTTCTCAAGCTTTTTCTTCCCAGGTCTCCTTTCATCTTGC